TGTTCCGAACGTGCTACGGAACACAATACGCGAGGATTTCGTAGGTAGTTTATGATGGGTCCGGGTAACAGTTATTTTTGAAAGACAGATTTTTAGCCATCGACGGCAATTTAGTTTTACATTTTTTCGAACAATGCCTTTAGAATTTCTAAGTTTCATTTAGTCTTCAATAACTACTCCGTCATAAACAGGGTTTTCCCAAGGGTCACCGAGGATGGGCCTCGGTTCCGTCCTAGCGGTACTTTTTAGGACAACGTGCGTGTCACCTGGAGGGAAAAACCCCGGCGTTGCCGGCCTTCGAGATCCTCCCGTACTCATCGGTATCTTTTCCCACCCTCTTCCAAAAAAGGCGCGCTCAGGGCGCAAGAGAGGGTGGGCCCAAGTCAAGGGGCATGTTGATTGGAAAATCAACGTTTCTAATGAGAACCAATCAGCATGCCTCCTTGCACTTCCGACGTTTCGAGGAAGTAACGACGGAACGTCTCGTCAGATTTCCAACATCAGTCAACCGAGTCGGACATGAAAATAAACCAGTCGTGTCAATCATATCGGACACATTAATCTCGAGCAAAGTCATCTAAGTCGGACTTAGAAATTTTACGAGTCATTCGATTACGGGCTTAGAAATTTCACGAGTCATTCGCGACGGACTTATCAATTTCACGAGTCCAACGTTTAGGACGTCTTCGAGTCAACCGTTCGGACTCATATTCAATTATTATTCAACGGATTCATTTCTGTTGAATAAACGTGCGCGAGTCAGCACAGTATCTGACAAGATAATAAATAGTGTTAAGTTAAAACGTGTTGATATTAATTCATTGAAATATTAGACGCATTTCGGGACGGAACACTAGGAAACCTTGCGGACAGAGAACTGGACATTCTAGAAAGAGCATTGGAAGACGTGACTTCGCACTTGGGATCGCGTTTTTATAGAATATATTGTATTTTCAAAAGCGGACTTAGCGAACGTATAGGTCATTTTCACCCATGTCTTACAAGTATTATTAAATAGTGTTATAATACATCAGTTTAAAGATTAAAATACGTTGAAAATGAATACATCAATTTTAAAAATACGTTTTTGGTACGAATCGACTAGTGATAGAAAATCATTTTACAAATTACATCGTTTCACGGATTAGTCAGATAGTCATTTATCAATTAACAATTTTGTGTTAAAAAGATTAATGAAAAATCTTGTAAACTACGTTTATAAATGTAGTATATACCAAACGAATGTTTATAAATTTATGACATATATAAATCAATCAATAGATTACATGATTAGTACTTTTCAGCCTTCGACATATCACAAATGCAAGAACATCTCGAATCTAATAATATAACTGCTACTTTGCGATGGTTTTATATCATCAAAGTGTACCAGACTGTACATATATAGATTTTCAAATTAATCATTGTCTTCTACAATTAATAATCGGTGCTCCTTGTTCATGATATTAATGATACAATTATGAATGAATATAACAATGTTGGGATGCAGACAAGTAAAAAAATAGAAATTGAGGAAATGCAGATACAGATATACATATAAAGATTTGAGGAACATATAATGTTGGAGATATGGACATTTGAAAACATAGGTATTGCAAACACAGAAACATAGAAATATAGAAATTTTGGACATAAGAAAATTAGACAAAGTAAAAGTTGTATAATATAGAAATTGGATTACATCTGATTCTTTGTCAATTTGGAAATTATGTTTTGTCGTGATTAACGTGAAGAATAAAATTACATCAAAAATATTCTACAAAATAATTAATAATTCATTTAATAGCTAGTATATCATATTTTTGAAAAATATCTCTCAGATTCCAATGGGCTTCGATGCGGCATGTATATGACAGGCACATAAAAATCATGACATATGCATTCTAGTAGTGAAACATGCCAGTTAGCCATTTTTTGTGAAAAATATTGAAAAACGTGTTGATCCAATTTTTTTCGTGGAAACTTCGTATTGATATAGCATAAATATTGTTATAACATACATTTATGTTATCAATATGTGTGAAACTTTGTTTTAAGATCAATCGTTATTTTATATAGTTAGAATATAATGAAAAGTGTGTGTGGTTTTTTCTTTGAACTTTAAGCTTTTTACTAATATATCGTACGTCATTTTCTTCGTTACTTTTACGTAAATTGTTGTTAACTTTTGAAGCCAACTTCGAACGATTTTTATGTCCTTCTAATACGTTATTAGTAGCATGATTCTAAACGAGTTTTTCCTTATGCATAATTGGCGGTAAGCTCTAGTTTTCGTGATATTAGCGAATAACTATTGTTATTATTATTAGTGGAACACCCCGTGCTATGCACGGGAAAGATAAGAAAGGCAATTACAATGCACTGTACCAAAACACTAACTAAGCTTTGCCGCTTTGACACGCAACTTATGCAGCAAGATGAGTTCACGTTGACGTTGGTGTATTATTCCCATTGCTTGGTACAGTCTCCCTACCGTTCTAACAAACATTTTTTTTATTTTTTAGTTGCAAAGGATTATTTTTTCTATGCATGTTCGGCGGTTTTTCCTAGGTGGGTGGTCCGATCGGAACAAAGCCTTTCGCATCTTGTGGAGTCTAACTCCCCATTGATAC